GTGCATAACACGATTCTCATTATTACACGCAAGCGTTAGAGCACAGATCCTCCAGCGACGACTCTATGGGCTCCTCAGTCTTACAAATATCACAGACGTATCAAAATCTAAGGAATAAAATAATTAACAATTACTGAACGACATGAGGCAAAGCATGCAGCTTTGAAACGGCAACAGCAAGATCTACTGCAGACATCTGAATAAAATCATTTCAAAATGTGCTGTACTTGACAAAATCTGCTACTGGACAAAGAGAAGGAAAAAACCTTGGTGGATATTAAGATAACCCTCACAATAGTGAGATTAGTCATACTGCAAACAGGCTTTTCTGGGCTTTCCATTCAGTTTTCAACTTCTGCTTCTTCCTGCTGACTTTCTATTTGTATCGTAATCACTGTGCAGTAATTCTTACTTTAACTGCTATAAAGAATACACTTGTGAATATGTCAATCTTTAAAAAATACTGTACTGTCATTTATCTAATGGATTCGATGACTCAAAGAGGACTGATTAACATCTAGGCCACTGCATATCAGTACATTTCCTTTCCATTAGCTATCCTACAAGTTAAGTGTCACAGATCTTTGATATTACAGTGAATTATGATGTATTTCAGAAGGCTTTATGTATTTCTCGTTCACCAGGTGTGATCACAAAGCGGTGTCTGAAGACAGAGGCAGTGTCAAAATCTGCTTCAAACTGACCTGAAGGTTCATACGAAGGGTAACCGCCCGGCCATGAGAGCTGGGTGTCCTGTTACAACCAATTTTTATTCAAAGACAGCAGGAGCTCCAAAACAGCCCCACAGGTGAGGTGCACGAGCGGGAGCTCACTTGTCGTTATTTCAACATTCATCAGGGTAAGGATGTCAGCACAAACGTCTTACATTAACATCCTGAAGTGCGTGAGGGAGAACATTCTGGAAACCATCTGAACTCACTTCTAAAAACCACTTTCTCAAGAACATTAAGACCCAAATCCTCATTCATAATTTCTTACTGTTAGTTTCTGACTCACCGTTGCAGCTTATATAAAAATGATGATGTCGTCTAAATGCAACAGGCCATGAAAAGCTATAAAGCTACATTCTCTGATTTTAAAAAGGTTATATCTCTTGCAAGTTTTTATTAAACTGTGATCATGCGTAACGCCTGATTTATTCATTTTTGCATATGTCTTTGTACACAGGTGTCTCCCAAAAAAGAGATCTCAATCTCAATGAAAACACCTGTTTAAATAAAGGATTTAATAATAATATCTGTAGTTTGTCTCAGCTTGCAATCGCAATAGCACAGGAGGGATTTTGTATTGGGTTTGTCTTTTTTTTCCTTTTTTTTGTTAGTCATATCAACGCGATCTTTGTTGACTGACAGATTTGCCTGCAATTTGATCCACTTCCTGAAAATGAAAATCACGTTTTATTGATTGCAGTTTTGACACACTGGAGAAGGTTCAGAGCCCAGAAGCACACAAGTACAAATACAAAAGATCATAGATCTCTTTTTTCAGATAAAGGGGTAGTTAGGCAGGCAGGTAGGTAGGCAGAAACTTTATTGGTCCCACAAGGGAAATGATCATGTTACAGCACCTTAATAAAGAAAACAAACAATACAGTCTAAAATAAATAAACAACATGGTTGAAGTAAAAGTGCCATGTGCGCACACTGAAGGTCTTAGACTGTGATATAGTGATATAGTCATATATCGTAGCAAGAAAATAAGACTGAGACTGTAAGAACCTTAAATGTGGGATTGGCCACACCTGTATCAGGTAAGGCTTTTGAGTTTTATGGACCAGTTCTCCCAATGTTTTGATCACACTTCTTATTAGGTGCTAGTTTCTGGCAGTATCTCTCGCCATGCTAATATAAATGCTCTGCTATGTTTTCCAGCAGCTGCTGCCCTTAGCTGCTGTTTGAAGCTAGGCAGGTAGCATGCAGTCACCTTTTAGAGTCTTTAGCGCCATACATAATATTAAACTGTGGGAGGTTGAAATAGTGAACACTGATTTGGATGATAAAGCTTTGTGTTTGTCACTGAAAAGCACCCACACAGTACAAGATCATCATTTAAACCATTGCTCATATGGAATTATTTGTAAGAGCAGCTTTAATCTTTCTATGGACCTCTGTGACTGTTGTCAGTGGTCATGGCTAACACCAGCTGGTTACTGAGAGTTCATGTGTGAAAGCGCTGTCACGCTGTCAGATTGCAAAACCCCAGCTCCCTTCTGTGACCTCTCCACTGCATGAGGTCAGTAGGCCAAGAGTGAGATGTCCCGCGCTTCCCTATCAATAACAGACGTTCAAACAGAACCCTGACAGATTTCCACATGACGGACTGCCCACTGACTAATGGCAAACAGATTTCTGAAGTATTGGGGTGAACGCGTTTTCATATGCTCTCGCTCACTGCTCTGAACAAAGGCACTTCTCATGCTTTCCTCTGTCACGTTCGCCCTCAGTTTGCTCGGCGACACTCCGTCCACGTTTATTTTTCTGCAGCTCGGGCTTAAAAACGAGTACAAGAGATTCCTTTCAGATAAAAGCATGCATGCAGTCTGTAATCAATGTTCTGTGCTCCACCGCTAGTGTTTATTCTCAATCAGTGCATTTGATTCAGTCATTCTCCCCTGAATGTCACTCTCCCGTGTCATTTTGGAAAAAGGCCTAATCAAGACGTGGCAATCAGTCACAGCATGACACTGCCAGTACCCATTAACAGTCATGTGGATTGCATTGGAACTGATCGAGCCGACGCACAGCTGGAGCCCAGAGGTTGTTTATCATATGTTTGGGCTGAGGGTGGTTCAGGAAAACTACCCGGTGTGATCCTGGGGACCTTTCGGGCACCCTGCAGAGAGCAGTGCTTCGGCTTTTTACAAAGTTTTCCTTCGCATCACGCTACATAAACAACTGTTTAACAACTTTAAAAAATATATATATACATAACACAGAAGATAGATGAGCTTCACTTCATTTATTGGCATCACATCACTCCATGTAAAGGACACACAGCTTTAGAGCAGAAGGTGGTTAAGATTAATGGTGATTTGGTAATGATACAAAATATAACAAATCTGTAGTGTACATTAATCCTGTTAAAACTCGTGCCTCGTGTGATATTTCATAAACATACGCGCGACGATAAGACCTGTTTTTAACAAACAGAACAGTTTAAACATTTAGTCGACTTCCACGAGAAGCATAACAAAATATACAAAAGTTTACACCACCAGATAACAAAACACTGGAGTGCAAATGTAAGTTTTTTT